ATTTATTATATATATATATATATATATATATAACTTTAAAAAAAAACGCCTATAGGCGAAATTAAATAGTATTTCGCCCTGCCATGGATATGTTATGTTCGTAGTAGTTTTACCTTAAAAACCATCACGGATTTATGGAAGCCATGGTGGTTACCTATATTTTTTTGTGTGAAAAAATACTGCAACATACATGCTGTGTTTGTAGCGATCCTTTAATTCATGCTGTTCGAAAAAATCAAATGGTACCGAGCCTTATGGGCCAAAATACTATTCATTTTCGCTCATAGGCATTTTGTAGTATATATATATATATATATATTGTGTTTCTCTTCGCTCACTCTCTCCCTTCCAAACTTATTTCTCTCCCATTCGAAATCCCTATTTGTTTTTTCTCTCTATTTTCCTCTGCAAAACCCCAACTCTCTCTCTTTCTCTCTTCCCCTGTAAAAGCCCAACTCTGTCTCTCATCTCTCTCTCTTCCTTTGCAAAAACCCAACTCTATCTCTTCTATCTCTTTCTCTCTCTCTCTTCCCCGGCAACTGTGAGTTCTCAACTCTCTCTCGCTCTCTCCCTCTGTTTATCTTCCCCTATGACCCGCCAAACCCTATTTGTCTTCCGAACTGGATCTTTGATCAGCAAAAATGATAAGTTTTTTATTTTATTTTCGTACATTATTTTTTGCATCTTGGTGCTCAATGAAATATCAACAAAAATGGCAAGTTTTTATTTGATTTTTATGCATTTGTTTTTTGCATCTTGATGCTCGGTGGAATAAGAGCAAAAACGGTAAGTTTTTTATTTTTATTTTTGTGCATTCTTTTTTTGTATCTTGATGGTCGGCTGAAGATCAGCAAAAATGATAAAGTTTTTATTTGATTTTCGTTCATTCTTTTTTTATATCTTGACGCTCGGTGGAGGAAGAGCAAAAATGACAAGTTTTTATTTGATTTTCGTGCATTCTTTTTTTGCATATTGATGCTTGATGGAAGATCAGCAAAAACGACTAAGTTTTTATTTGATTTTTGTGCTTTCTTTTTTTGCATCTTGATGCTTGTTGGAAGATTAGCAAAAATGGCAAGTTGTTATTTGATTTTCGTGCTTTTTTTTTGTATCTTGATGCTTCGTGGAAGATCAGCAAAAATGGCAAGTTTTTATTTGATTTTCATGCGCTTTTTTTGCATATTGATACTTGGTGAAAGATTAGCAAAAATGGAAAGGTTTTATTTGATTTTCACGCTCTCTTTTTTTGCATCTTGATGCTCCGTAGAAGATCAGCAAAAATGGCAACTTTTTATTTGATTTTCGTACTTTCGTTTTTGGATTTTTAATGTGGTATTTTTTTGGAACTTTCTCTCCATTAAAGAAGCTGCATTAACAAAAATTAGGAGTTTTTTACAGAATTATGCATTAAAAAAAAGGGATATGCTCATTTTTTGTCTAGGGTAAGGGTCTGGGTCTTGGGTCCTAATCCATACCCCAGATATGGGTACAGGTCTAGGACTCTTTGGACCCGTTGGGTAACTGGTCGTTAGACGGCTCTCATATGGATTTTCAGTAATGCCGGCCTTGAGGGGCAAGGAAACCGAGAATCCGCGAGAAGGTCTAGAAAAGAGTTTTCTGATAAAAGAGGGGGATGCTAGAAAAGGATTTGGAAATAGATCAGAAGTATAATGAAAATAAGGAAAGAAAGCTAACCTCAAGCTGAGCCCCTAGGCCCAGCACCCGGAGTTAGAGGTCAGTTCAGAATCGTACTTGGTGTGCCAACTTTTTCGGTCCGTCAAAGTCTGTCGGATAGGACATATCGGTATCAGGGAAATTAGGGCATGTGGGTATTGGGATTAGGATTTAAGGATGTCAGGCTTAAGGCTCGGGCTTAGGTTTTCCAAGATCTGGGGTGGAGTGTCAAGTGCAGCACAATTTCAGCTAGGGTTCAAAGTCTCTCCACTGATCCAAAAACGAAGACTAAGGCTCCTATTTATAAACAAAGGCCCCTTCAATAGTGGCACAAAAATTTTGATTCAATCTGAACCATCTATTTATAGAGCGATGGCAATGCCCAAGTTAGCACCAGCAACGCCACGACTTTAGTGCCTTTAATCATTTTGAAGTCATGTCAATAGTTTCAACAATATCGACGATTATAACGTCGTGCATAACACGCTTCCTTTCATCAGTGAAAGCATTATTCTGGTGGATAACTTATGATTGGGGTTGCTTATAGACAATGTCACCACCACTGATGCTAGTGTTGTTGCCACTCACGCGACTCTAATGTTCTTTCACTAGTGTTGTCACTGCAAACACGGGAGTGGGCACCACCTACACCAGCCTTAATGATTTCATTTTCAATAATTGGTCCTTCCTATTTAATGGAAACAATGTTTCGAAGGTGTATGGGGCTAACTTTTGCTAGTGTTGTCACCCTTGACTCAAGCGTTAACACCACCAACTCCAAGCCTAATCATTCTTTTTTCAATTATTTGCACTACCTCATCTAATAAAAATATTGTTCCACACATGTCAGGGTTGTCCAGTTGCTAGCGTTGGCACCACCAACATCAACTTGACCGCCACTGACGCTAAGTTCACGTGAGGCTTCGGCCCTTGTCTTCCTATGGGTCCTCAGGTCAGTGGTTCAGGCCAATCATTTCGATACATTGTTGCTGACAGCGTTGCCACCCCTGACTCAGGCATTAGCATCCCTAATATCAGTGCAATTATGATGTTTCCATTGGGATTTCAGACCCAACTTTTGGCGAATGATTTGTTTATACTATGGATAACGGAAGGCATGTGGCATCGGTGGTCCTAACATGGGCATTGGGGGCTCTAGCCCCGTGGTGTAGCCCTTTTACGGTTGCGTTAACTGTCTTGATGCCAGCATTGATGGTCCTGGTGTTGTGGTCTCCGGTGTCGCCGACCTTGACTTTGGCGTTAACATCTCTAATGCATGGGCGTTTGCTATCCTGGCTTGGACATTGGTGGTTTTAACGCTAGCGTTGATGGTCCTGATGTCATGGTCTTTGGCATTGCCAGCCCTTACTCCAGCAATGTCGTCTCCATCGCTTCAACATTTGATGTCCTAGCTTGGGTGTTGGTGGTCTTGACACCAGAGTTGGTGGTCCTGATGTCGTGGCCTCTGCTATCACCAGCCTTGAATCAAGAGTTGGCACCTCTAGCGCTCGATCGTTTGTTGTCCTAGCTTGGGCATTGGTGGTCTTGACGCCTCGGACTAAACTATCATTTTTTCAAACAAATCTCCCATGGCCACAACTTTCAAATCATGCATCGTATTTGATCGATTCTTGAGCTGTCGAAAAGCTTGTGATCTCTATGTTCATTTAAAATCCATTTTGGACCCAAGAGACTTATTATTGAGGGGTCTATGAGGATTGGGCTTCAGGGTGCTAGGTTTCAAGGTTCTAGGTGTCAGAATTATGTACGGATTGATTTATGAGGTATCTGGTGATCCTAAGGCCTATGGTTCTGGAATGGATTTAAGGTTCCTATGGTTCCCAGGTCTTCGGTTTCCTGGAATTTCATCAACTAGGGATGAGGTATCTACAATAGTCAAATACAATTTCTAAGGGGTTTGTGTGAGAGTTGGATGGTGCTTTTGGGGGATGGTCTCTATCCATGAACTCCTCCCTGCTCACTCTCCTCCTCTTCTTCGAATCCCTCCCATTCTTAATAGCTCTTCCACCTAATTCCCTTCGAGATTCCTCTATGTAAGGACTAGGACGTTCTGAAGGTGATGGTTAAGTATGGAATTGTGCGTGTGTAGGCGAGTGCGCACTAGTGTGCGTTAGAGCTCATACAGGGGTAGACGAGTTTGCATTAGAGCGCGGGCAGATAGGTACACTGCTGAGAGCGCGAATGGATGAGCGCGCTGGCGAGCGTGAGTAGATGGACGCGTGTTGAGAGCGCAGACAACTAAGTGCGCTGCTGAGCGCAGGTGGTGTATAGTGGTCTAGGGGTGCTTCTTCTCTCTCATGGTTGCTCGTTCTCTTCATGCATGAGTGTCATGTGACACATGCATGCTTCCACCCTATCATTGTGTTTCACGTGCTTATTATCTCTCTCTGTTCATGCATGAGTTCCAGGTGACACATGCATGCTTCTACCCCATCATTGTATTTCCCATGCTTGCTCTCTCTCTTCATGCATGAGTGTCATGTGACACATGTATGATTCTACCATCCATGCTTATTTATACTCCCCACTCACTCAAGAATTGAGGTTTTTTATCTCTCTCCTCACTGCCCCCTCTCTCTCATCCATGTTCTCCTTCTCACCCCTTAATCATTTGACCTCCCCAAGCCTTAATCCCTTAAGCTTGGACCCAACCTATTGAAACTTGACAGTCAAGGTGAAGTCGGTGGAACACTTTGGAATTTCGATTGGAATAGGTAAGTGGATCTAGTTTCTAAGGCTTCATGCTTATGTTAATGCAGGTTTCCTTATCTAATCAAAATATGAAACTCATGTATGAGTATGGGTGTGAGTGTGAGTGCGGTTGCTACTGAAATCCTTCTAAAGAGTATTCTGTTTTCCAAAATTATAGCACATGTTTGAGAGATCATTAGGGTATCTTAAAGCATGCATTAGATGATGAATTTTGGTGGGTCAATAGCGCATTGAAACTATTTCAGCATAGAAAATACCTCTTGTTAATATCTCATTTAATTTGAAAGTTATTAACCTTTTTCTAAAGCATGCCAGATTTATGAAGTGAAATTCCAGGGATTTAACATGTTTTTGTGTGAAGTTTTTCACAAATCAAAATATGCTACAATGAAGTCAAACTACTTCGAAATGATAGATATATTAATTTATTTTGAAATTAGTTTGGGAATCATGATAAAATTTTCTGTGGTCTGAAAGTTACGGTCATTTTTCTATTAGGGTGTCACATTGGATTTTCTACAGTGCAAATAGAAACTTCACCCAAGAACATCAAACAGTTTGACAAACTTGAGACCCCTATTTAGGGTTACACCCTATACGAAAGTTGCTTTTTCATAAGCCTAGATTGTCATGAAACTGATTTCAAGTTTAAATGATCTTTGAATCTCATGATATGCCTTTAAAAGTGAACTATATTCATATTGAAAAACTAGAAAGACAATATTGTGATGTCTATTTCCTTGATATACAACATGATATTGACATGATGATATGACATAGTGATGTCTCTTGCATCGGTATATTACATGATATTAACATGATGATGTCTCTTGAGCTAATATGCATGATGATATGACATAGTGACGTATCTTGCATTTGTATATTGTATAATATTGACATGATGATGTCTCTTGAGCTAATCTGCATGATGATATGATATAGTGATGTCTCTTGCATTTGTATGATATTGATATGATGATGTCTCTTGAGCTAATGAGCATGATAATATGATTATACGCATAGCATGCCTTAGACATGTTGATGCTTCATGTGAGTATGTATAACATGCTCCTTATGTGATATGTGGTTGGGCACCTACTGTGTGAATGAGGGTGCGGGCAGCTGAGATCTTATGCTATTGATATGTGTATGGGCACCTACTGTGTGAATGATGGTGTCGGCAGTTGTCTGTATGGGATGGGCACCTACTGTGTGAATGATGGTACCGGCAGTTGTCTGTATGGGATGGGCACTTACTGTGTGAATGATGGTGCCTACAGCTGCCTAATATGGGATGGGCACATTCTATGTGTACTCATCGTATTATGTTGTTTATGGTATGTTATGTGCCGATGGGAACATGCTCTGTGATGTGGATGGGCAGCTACTGTGTGAATGATGGTGTTGGCAGCTGCCTGATGGGAAGGGCACCTACTATGTGAATGATGGTGCCGGCAACTGCGATCTTTCCCTGACTCTCCATGATAGGAAGGGGAGGTAGGATGTGAATGTTTGGGAGTGTCGCGCCCCTCAAAATCTATTGAGGAAATATCTATTGGGACCTCTTTGATAGTGTAAAACTCTCTTGCTGGAAGAGCACATGAGAGGGTCGCATTTTGCAAGGCCACCGCCTATCAAAAGCCCCAAAGCGCGTCGAGGACTGTGTGTGTGTGTATGTAACGCACTACATAACGGAATACTCTGTTAGTGGTGCTTCCCTCCTGATGAGATGGTAGAAGTTCTAAGCATCGAGATTTGATTGGCCTGATGGATAGGGCTTCTATTTCGGGAGTAGGTGAGTCAGGGAGCGAGTTAGTTAGTATTTGTTGATCTTGTTTATGCATGCCTAATTATGTTGATCTGTTAAGATGTTTGAATGATTTGATCGATTTCTGATTCATATCATATCTGATTAATCTGATTTGTTATTGCTCCCTTATGAAATGAATCATGCATGACACATAGGTAAGTATGATTTTGACAAATGGCTTCATGTTTAGTAAGATTTGCCTAACACCCTAAGTATTGTTATGAGATAAAATGTGTAGGCAAAAATTATGGTACCTTGATCTACTTACTGGGCATTACACCTCACTCTTTTAACTTTCCTCTATGTAGAGTGAAAGCTGTCGGGTTGAGGAAGGGCGTTCTGGTGATCGCAACTGGAGCATCGCATTCCCTTCCTAAGGAAGCTCTTTTTACTTGTATGTTTTAATAGTAGTTTGGCCTTATAGACCACTTTGTATTGGAATTATGTCTTGTTGATTGGGTCTTTTGTGCCTTGGACCCATTTGTATTCATCGTTTTGGGACTATCATATGAAATTTGTGGGACTTGTTTGTCCATTAATTCATGGTCGTGTGTGTTGCGTTTGGTTTTCTTTTATTTCATGGTTGGCTTTGATTCATTCAATATAAAAGCGTTAAGCACACTACACCTGAGTGGCTATCGCTACCTATGGTCACGACCCCATACCCTATTGTCCTCGCGTGGGCTTGGGTTAGCCCTCCATGGGTCCGGCAAGGACAGTAGGGGGCGAGTTTGTGACACTCTGGTCTCACCCTCCTCTCCTTTGACCAATCTTGTAAATCCTATTTATTAGTCTTTGGTTGAGTTCCACTGCCCGCTAGTGCACTGCTACAATCTTATGGCTTTTCCTTTTGGCCGCTGCTACTAAGCTAGTTGTACGATGCCCCAACCCCAGCCTGTGAGGTGATTGCTTAAGGGATAAGATGTTGTAGTATGAATTGTGTTCTAGAGGTCCATGTGGGGAATTGCATTGAAGTCTCTTGTGGCTTAGTAGGGGTGCTTAGGTTGTAGGAGGTTTGGGACCCTATGAGGTGATTGCTTAAGGGATAAGGTGTTATAGTGTGTCATATTGGGTAATATGAATTGTGTTCTAGAGGTCTATGTGGGGAATTGCATTGAAGTCTCTTGTGGCTTAGTAGGGGTGCTTAGGTTGCAGGAGGTTTTCTAGGTAAGGGTTGGGTTGTATATAGTTGTTTCGAGTGATCATCCCCGTATTTAGAGAGCACTTCTAGTATTTCGTTGTTTCTTCCTCTTTCCTATTGCACCTATGGAACTTTACCTTTTATTAATGAATTTAACTTTCAAAAATGGTGTTGGGTCAAGTGGATGGGAATGAGCCATCAACTTGGCTAATAAGAAAACAACACATGATGTAATTTAATTTGTGTACATGTGATTTGGACATAAAAGACCGATAAAGAGGCGTCACTATTCTATAGTACCATGCATTGGATAAAGGGCAAATGAGGTTAGCTCTAAGGCTAAAATCGTAGACGAGACAAGTAAAAAGATTAGAAAAATGACACACGCGTAAAATATGGTCACTTGAAGACTCAGAAAAACTCTAACACAACCTTCTTGCCACCATGGACTACAGTGTTCATGATTCGTCATACATAATATTTTATTAAAGAGACTACACTTGTGTTTGGCATTTTAGAAACTTAACTCCTTTTTATATTATTTTTATTTAAATGTTACTGACATAACACTTAATATCACCTAAAATCTAACATCCATTTTTTAAATGTACAAAAATATCTTGTCTCAAATGTCAATTTTGATATTAGCATTTTCGATACTTTTGTCTATGTCAAACATAAAGATACATATCTGTCTATCTATCGTATATGCCTCCTAAGAAACATTTTGCCTAATTTAACCCAATGTGGTATATGAGTTATTCACGAAATGAATTAACCAATGTTTTAAAAAGCAAACCAATGGGGTGGATCCCCACCTACTAATTTCAATATGGATCGTTTAGATTGGTGATCCAATTGGCCAAATAGGTGATTAGGCAAGAAAGGATATAAACAATAAATGACTTTGTAGTTTATGTAGGGCACATTTACCATGTTCACGTTGGAGCATACCATAAAGTTACTCCCTCGAGCAGAAGACTAACTTGGGAAGATTCCTTTGATCTGAAATTTTGGGAATCACCTAAAAATCATCAAAAGATTATATTCAAACGAAAATTTTGAGTTTTGATTTTTCAAACACTTAGATCTCACCCTTTAAAAATTGAATCATTTTTATTCAATCTTGAGGCATTAGTTTTCTAAGACCATAGATAATGCAATCTAGAAAAAAAATTTATGAAGTATAACATATTGAGAGGTTACATACCCAAAAGTTGAGGTCCTAAAATACTTCTAGGTTGGGTTTTACCAAAGGGATGAAATTGGGAGATACTCCTTCAGGAGCATGAAATATTTTGGTATATATAATATGTAGGGATTGTATACTATGAGACCGTAGACTTTTGGTACAAGGAGGCCACAATCATGTATAGTCATTGGATGTAAAATTTGATAAATTGAAATGTATTACAACATTCGAGAAATTTTATTTTGGACTTTATGCCCAATCAATGATACATCTTCAACTAACCCATTTCACGTTCTAGTCAGTAATGATTGTGACCTTCTTATCTCAAAAATAAATAGTGTCATTATATATTTTTCCTAAGGGTGCAATTGGCATACCGATGCCTCCGTAGGTGTAGAGGTACAGTGCCCTTCAAATTTTATCATGCTATATAATTTTGATGTAAAATGTTATTAGGATTATCTCATAATCTATTTTTATATCTAATTATAAAATTTTAAATTTTAAAAATGGTTAAAATCAAGTAGATCTATAAACATATGAAAATCTTGAAAATAGCCGGTGTAGATAATATGTTGTAAAATGCACTATTTCTGAGACTTAAAATCTTTTTATTTTTCATAGTCATACATCTTGAAGTCGAGATGATCAATCAAAGGTTTTTTCAACATTAAAACTACTTTTCCCGATGGATTTTTGAGAGGCATCCATAGTTCTACATTATAAGGTAGCATCTTTATATAAACTTTTTCCTTTTCTTAATATATATTTCTTATTTTGTTAACATAAAATGGCTGATTTGACCACCACACTTGAAAGTTCAGCAAACATTGAAGGACATGTTCAACCAACTAGGTCATTTCAGCTCTTTGTAAGTAGATGTATGCAATAAAGGAGAAAGTTTACATAAGGTTGCGACTTTAAAATGTAGAAATACGGATGCAGCTAAAAAATCCATTGGAGGTGGTTGGTTTAGAGTTGAAAAACCCTCTCATTGTTCATCTCGCATAAAGATGCATGAATGTTACAAAAAAAAAAATATTTTGAGTCCCAAAAATAATGCATCTGACAACACATTATCTAGAACGTCCATTTTCAAGATTTTCATATGTTTATAGATCTACTTGATTTTGACCATTTTTTAAGCTCAAATTTTTATAATTAAATATAAAAATAGATTTTCAAATAATCCTAATAATTTTTTACACTAAAATTATATATAATGATAAAATTTGAAAGTGCAACCTTATAGAAACCACACCCTACATTAAATTAGAGCAAATAGCATGGTTCCTACATGCCACTCATTGTATAGATTGATTGGTATAGGACATTGATTGGACACCTTGATTGGGTGAAGATGACTTTCAAAGATGTGCGGGGCCTAGTAATAGGTATTTAGAGGTCTGTGCAAGGTCTGTTCTTAAAGTCAAGCGCGGGCGAGTAGATTTGATGCCCTAGTCCCACTAGATTAGATTTGGTTCGGAGATTTTTTTTGACATATATATTATATATTACAAAAATAATGTACCGCTAATTTAAACTAGGAATCGGCATAGTCACGGTCATTCCAAAGCTGGATGACAACTTTTCGATGTTATTATTTAAGGAAAAGTAGTTTATGCGTCAGGAGTCGCGCGTCTGCCTAGGCGTAAACCATCCATTTAAAGATAGATGTAAGTGATGGTCCCTCCAAGAAAAAAGTAAAACAAATGGTTCAAATATTTTATTTTAAAAAATATCATTTTTAGTTTTAAATTTTTTTATTGCACAATAAGGATCTCCATATTAGAGATTGTATATTCCTTAAAAACGAGGGTCAAAATTTATTTCAAAAATGGATTATTAAAGGAGCCACACTTCTAGATATAAGTCCGGTGACTCATAGAAACAGCGACCTTATGCTATTGCAACTTCTCTTTTTTGTGCGCCTCCAAATATAAGGGCATATGAAATGCAATCCAACCAAACTTCCATATCTTTGGGTGAGACAATCAACCACGTGTAGAATAACAAATTACTCCATTTTTTTTAATAAGGAGCACATATCGGAGTGTCAATATACATGGACAAGACACAAGGCAAGCTGAAACGTTTCAATAAAGCATTAGCAACTCAAACTCCTCCGATCTTTCTCTCCGCTCCATGAACTAGACCAACAAGCCCATGAAAAGAATGAAGATGAGATGAGATGAGATGAAAAGCAAAGGAGATGTTGAAAGCAATGAAAGTGGATTACACTGGCCGGCCCGATTCGAGTGGTGGAAGACGCCATAGGCCTTGACAAGATCAACTGACAAGGAGGAGAAGACGACATAGCGAAGCCCAACGCCTTGCTATCCCTGCAGACCCTTCAAGGATCACTAGGGGTGGTAAAGACCAAATGAAAATACGCTCTTGGAATATCAAGGGGTCAGGGAATCAACGGAAGCGAAGAGTGTTGAGGCGGCTTGGCTCGTTAGAGAACACAAGCCGCACATTTTACTTGTCCAAGAAACTTGATCTCTTTATAATTAGATGTTTTAGGAGTATGGGTTCCATAGATTTTAGTTTGTGGCCTTCGGTGGGTTTCTTGGTAGGCTACTGATGGTCCAGGATCACCAGGGTGGTCTAGGGGACCATCTTTAACATTTCTTTTCGTTCTATATATGTTGTTCTCTAGGGCATGGGCTTGTCTTCTTTTTGTGTGACGAATGTATAGGGCCCCAATGCCATTTCTGAAAGGAAGGTTTTTTTTCTTCGATCTGTCTTCTATTTATCTGATATTGATGTGCACAAAGGATTATGTTGGATAACTTCATCACCTTTAATGCATTACTAGATCTGCATGTTACGGGGACTCTGTACATTTGGACAAATACTAATGTAGGGTTCTCAAAAAACCCCTTAGCTTGCGGAATCGGGATTCCAAATACCAGAATTTCACTCAAGATTGTGTACTCAATTGGCAAAATGCGAAATAGATGAATACAACTATAAATTGAGTACGAGAAATAAAGAAAAAATAAAAAACACACCACAACAGCACTCGATTTACGTGGTTCACCCTGTAAGGGTACATCTACGGCCTCGGCAACTAGAAATCCACTATCAAAATAAAAATTACAGTTTTTTATTACAAGAGATAATACATATCTCTAAACATCGGTAAAATATCATCACCGATCTTCCTTTCTAAATCTACTGTGCTGACCGAGCAACACCGTCGATCAACATCATCTTTCACACCGCAATACCGCTATTGGAAAGATAACCTCGAGAGCAACATATAGATTTTCTCTCTCTAAAAGTGGAAGTTAACCAACCAAAAACTCATGGGAATACTGACCCTCTTTCAAAGGTCATGTCTCTCTCTTGAAGACTCATCTTCATATTAGAGATCTATTCCCATAACCCCCAAAGGTGTGACCCTTAAATGATGGGTATTATGTTATCATTCACTCTCTTATAAAGATATCACTTTCTTACTTCTCAAGAAAGTCAATTTTCTATTTTCCATAATACCCTAATCTTTAGAAGAAAATATGGGTATGATGATTTAGCTATCACCAAACCCAACAATCTCCACCTTGATAGCAAAATCGTCATAATTGCCTTGACAACCTTCATTGAATAGATTTCTTGATTTCTTCATACTTGCTTCCATTGTGGAATGTTTACAAATATTTTACCTTCATATTTCTCCACATCAAACCATGGATATTTCTTGATTTCTTCTCACTCGCCTCCATTGTGGAATTTTTACAAACACTTTGCTTTTATATTTCTCCACCTCAAACCATGTATCCATAAAACTTCGTCATTCCTCTTTTTCTTAATATAAACCTTAGCCTCGTACACACCGTGTGCTCCAATACCGATTGTAGGGTTCTTGGGAACTCCAAAGCTTGTGGAACCGGGAATCCCAAATACCGGGATCCCACCCAAGATCGTGTACTCAATTGGCCAATTGCGAAATAGATGAATACAATTATAAATCGAGTGTGACAAATAAAGCAAACATAAAAAGCACATCACAATAACACATGATTTACGTGGTGCATCCCGTAAGGCTACATCCATGGCCTCGGCAACTAGAAATCCATTATCACAATGAAGATTGCAGTTTTGGGTTACAAGAGATAATACCTATATCTAAACATCGGCAAAAGACCATCACCGACCTTCCCTTCTAAACCCGCTCTCCCAACTGAGCAACACCGTCAATCAACATTATCTTTCCCACCTTAATACCACTGTTGGAAAGATAACCTCGAGAGCAACATAAAGATTTTCTCTCTCTAGAAATAGAAGTAAACCAACCCAAAATTCATGGAAATACCATCCCTCTCTCAAAAGCGCATGTCTCTCTCTTTTGGAGACCCATCTCCATATTGGATATCCATTCTCATAACCCTCAAAGAGAATTCTTCTTTTTTGAATTCCTTTCCTCATTTGGCTTCTGACCATGTTACTGATGGGGAATGCTTTGGTCCATCCCCATTTCGTTTTGAGTTGATGTGGCTAGGTGAGAGATCACTAAGGGAAGAGGTTTTGGAATAACACCATTATTGATGGCTGGGCAGGTTATAAAATAGCTCTAGAGCTTAAAATCTTGAAGCACAAACTAAAACAATGGGAATATAAAATTCGGGGACATTGGTAGAAGGATTTTGGAGGTCACTAGCATAATTGAGAACTTGAACTAATTAGAACAGCAAATGGAGGCTTGACTTTGGACCAAAAGACAATAGGGAGCAGAAGAAACATGAACTCCAGAAGCTGCTAAGGGATGAGGAAATATTCTGGTTTTAACGGTCCAGATCAAAGAGGGTAAATGAAGGGGACATTAACACAAAGTATTTTCACACTATCGCAAATTCTTGAAGGACTAATTATGTGAGTAGTAGCTCAATTTCGGGACTAACATCAGGGAATGTTCAAAGGGCAAAAGCGGCTTTGTGAATTTCTTTTGTGTTGCTTTTATCTCGTAACCTAGGATTCAGTGCTCGATTGACAACATCCTTTTTCACAAATTGACTTAAGAAAGAGCAAATCATTTGGAAAATCTGTTCACGGATAAGGAAATAGAAGAAGCAATTTTTTGTTTTGCATAGAGATAAAGCCCCTGGCCCGAATGTCTCTCCAATGGCCTTCTTTTCAAGAATTTTGGAATGCAGTTAAAAATGATTTTAAGGCCCTATTTGAGTGATTCTTTAACGATGGGATGGTTTTGAAAGCTATCAACTCCACTTTCATCTTACTAGTTACAAAGAAGCAAGAATCCCTACAGGACATAAGGCCTATTAAAATCATTGCTAAGGTGCTAGCAAAAAGGCTACGTCACTTGACAAAGTTGTTCAGGGGCCACAATATGCTTTTATTAAGAATGAGTAAATAATAGATGACATACTAGTAGCCCAAGAAATCATCCATTCCACTAGAGTGGAGGGTAATAAAGGGATACTCCTTAAGATTGATTTTGAGAAGGCATACAATTGAGTTGAATGTGACTATCGTGATAAGATTATGGAGTTAATGGGCTTTGGACTTAGATGGAAAAGTGGATTTTAGGTTGCCTCTCATCATCCCACTTCTATATTATTATTGATGGTAAAGCATGTGGTTACTTCAAAAGAACAAGAGGGCCCAGACAAGGAGACCCATTATCCTTGTTTTTTTTGTTCACGTTAGTGGCAGGGTCTTTCAGTAAAATGCTGGCTGGAGTAACTCATAGGGGTTTGATTACTGGCCTACCAGTTACAGCACATGGCCCGACCACTACAAATCTGCAGTATGCAAATGGCAAGTTGTGTGCCTCTCGGGAATGGTGTTGAGGTCGTGATGGTAGTACCACTTGAGCCTCAACTACTGGTCTGGGTTTTCATTCCCACTGACGTATTCGAAAATTGCTAATTATTTCTAAAAACAGCTATATTCCCCATTGATCTATCCAAAAAAAAAAAAGTTGTGTGCCTCCCTAAGTATGAAGGTAGTTTGGGAATCCGGACATTGAAAGTAGTTAATGAGCCCTTATTGATAAAGTGGTGGTGGACAATCATTGACCGGCGGTCAAAACCAAAAATGGTTGCGTTAAAGATCATCTTGTACCTAGAAGGCTAGTTAAAGGCTCTACTGCTTCATTAGTGTGGAAAGGAATTGCTTCATTAGGAACGTCTTTTTGGTTCACAACCGAATTATGCTTGGAGAGACCACTTTAAAGCTACAGTTTCCAGAAGTATACAAGAGATCTCACTACAAAATTGCTTGCCTTAAAGAAGTAGGGAGGGGGTAGGCGGATATGGCAGTATGGAACATTACCCTTGATGTAAGGAGGGCGGATGGGTGTGACTGAACATCAGTATACTGATCTCTTACAACAATTATATCTACTCGTTTATTACCCCATAAAACAAGATAGGGTGGTGTGGGAATTAGAGGTTGGCGGGAGTGAGATCCCTCTATAATACTCTCACAGAGGACAGATTCAAACCTAGAAGTCCTCCATCTAGAAGGCCCTAGCAATGCAAGGCCCGGCCCGGCCCCGCTCCTTCATGTGGTTACTGAGTCAAGATAAGGTCCTTTGAATGGAGGAATTGAGAAAAAGTTGAGTGATTATAAAAAATGTATGCATTTTATGTAAGATGGATGTCGAGACAAACTCCCACTTATTTTTGTACGATCCCTAATGGCAGTGGATTTTTGAAAGAAGTGTCGGGTTATGCCGAGTGATATTCAAGCTTTGTTTCATCAATGATGGTCCCCACCTTTCCCCAAGGACTCTCCTTAGGGAGAATTATTGTGGCAGCAGTTCTACGGCATTATTTACAAAGTAAGAAATTATAGGATTTTTTAGGACAGAAAAAGATAAGAGAACAGATGTGCAAGGCTATTCACTCTTCATGGACACAAGCTCAACCGCTCAACCAGTGTTTCTGACCGTACCAAGAGTTTTCTTCCTCACCAATCTTAGGCATTATTTAGAAAGAAAGAAAAAAATTATAGGATTTTTTAGGACAGAAAAAGATAAGAGAACAGATGTGCAAGGCTATTCACTCTTCATGGCCACAAGCTCAACCTGTGTTTCTGACCGTACCAAGAGTTTTCTTCCTCACCAATCTTGGGCATTATTTAGAAAGAAAGAAAGAAATTATAGGATTTTTTAGGACAGAAAAAGATAAGAGAACAGATGTGCAAGGCTATTCACTCTTCATGGCCACAAGCTCAACCTGTGTTTCTAACCGTACCAAGAGTTTTCTTCGTCACCAATCTTAGGCATTATTTAGAAAGAAAGAAATTATAGGATTTTTTAGGACAGAAAAAGATAAGAGAACAGATGTGCAAGTCTATTTACTCTTCATGGCCACAAGCTCAACATGTGTTTCTGACCGTACCAAGAGTTTTCTTCCTCACCAATCTTAGGGAGCTCTTGGCCACTTCTAAGAAGAGGGTGATTAGGTCAGGCTGCTGGGGCCCACCATCCCAGGGTTGGTTTAAATTGAACTTTGAATGTAATTGTTTATAGAGGAATGTTGCAAGATTCGGTTTTATGGAAATATCAAGGATGCCTTCATTCTTGCTTTGGTGAGTGTGGCAGAAAGAGTAACATGCAAACCACACTGATGATCCGATCCAAGGACATTCTTCAAATTGGAGATTCTTCGACTGTTATCAATTGGTGCAGAGCTCTAAAAACTTGTTCGTTAGGCAATGAAGCCAGATAATGGAAAAAATACCACAACCTCCATGATCGGGAAGCGTGCTTCAATCACATCACTAGGTAACAGACCTCCTGAACTGGCCAAATCAGCAACGGCCTCGCAGGCGTGATCCTCCCTCCTTCCTCTATTCCTCCCTTCTACACGTTATTTTCACTTCTCTTCCCATTTTTTCGTTTTTCTACCTTATGCTCTTTATTCTTTTCTCTTTTTGCTTTTCCTGATTTGTACTTTTCATTCTCTCAATTTAATCTTGTTTTCAAATAAAAAAAACATTAGCAACAGGAAAATATTAGAAAATGCCCTCACAAAGAAGCATTTGTAGCCATTACCATCGAAAAAACTTATTTACTAATCAAAGGATTTCAAACTATAGATGGATACAAGTGATTGAACGTCTAAACAAGTTCTACTGAAGATGCAAAACACACATGGCCGAGGGGGGAAACAAGAAGCCGTCTTTTATAACCAACTTTCCACGTGAATGTAATCGAAATGAGTCCCTCTGATCATCTACATGACTACATGTATGACAGTGCTCAAATTGCTACTTACAAGACATCCACAGGGTTTGAACCCCCTCCATTTCAGGAAATAACCAAATATACAACGAATGCAGCCCTTAACGGATAAATATTTCCAGGCTGAAGACATAAATATAAACAAACTCCATTTTCATGGACAACCCATTGCTGGAGTGTCAAACCCCAAAATCGGAGGCGGGGTTAAAATAAATGGGGTCGAAAATCTCCCCTTCCTTTCATCCATTAGTGAATATATAAGATTGCCCGATTCTCTCACCCATCTAAAATACAAACCAAGGAAATGGTTTGCAACATTGGAAGCATTGGAAAAAATCCTCTTTCCAGCCCCACGAAGACCTCGTAAGAAAATCAATGCAGAACTACTTGAGCAGTATTCTCCAAATACCCCTTGTATATACTACTAGTGACCAAATGGCAAGCCCTGCTGACATGTAAAGCAGAACGATGCCGCAAGTAGCCAAAATGCTAGGTCCTGTTTGACTGCATTCAACAGAACACCAAAATTGAAAGACATCAATTAGCTTCCTTGCATACTTCTAGGGTTTAGATTTATCAGCTCTGTCTCACTCTCACAGACACATACACATGCAACATTAAGGCATGCTAGCCACAAAAATCCAGATCTCTCTCTCTCTCTCTCTCTCTCTCTCTCTCTCTCACACACACACACACACACACAAGTTGTACATCTAATAAGTTCAAGAAAAAATTGCTGCTGTCGATACTTTATTGCTCTTGTCAAAACAATATCAGCAGAAATGTTTTTGATAAATTGTCATAGGGGATAATTTCTAAAAAGAAAGAAAATATATATAGATCCATAATATTTTATGAAAATAATAAATAGTCAATATTTTTGGAGATTTTATGGTGAAGTCCAACCTTTTTTGAGTTTTTTATTTCCATTCTACCCCCTATTCAAAGGTTGGATTGTCGAACGACTCTAAAATAAGAAGAATCCAAAATAAGAAATAACTAAGTGTATGGGCAGTTTAGAGGTCATATTTTCAAACCACCCTTTGTACTGAGCAAGGTCATGGTTCGAAAATGCAATCTTCAAACTGCTGGCTGGTTCAAAGGTTGGACCTCATAAGCAGTGGCTTAGTAACAAGCCGTGCACAAACATCAGCGTTGGTTTAAAGGTTGGACTTTTGAACCACCCACCACACTTTGTTGTGGGGTATACAAAGCAGTTCAAAAGTTCAACCTTCGAACCACCCTACAATCAGTAAGGTTCAAATGTTGGACCTTCAAACAGCCCATACACTTAGTTATGTGTTTAGAACGGTTCAAAGATCCAGCCTTCAAACAAGGGGTAAAGAAGAAATAAAAAACTCAAAAATTATAGCCTTCATTGTAAAATATCCCAAGATACGGATTTTGGATCCCAGTAGAAAATATTTTGTAAAGGTGCTAATTTTGCTATTTTTTTTTTAAACACCTCTTCTATTTCAAATAATTTTTCCAATATAGAAGTAGAAATAAACCAACCTCATGTCTCTAGTGGCCAGGAGAACAGTGAGAGCTATCATTTGTGAAGCAGTTTTCCATTTTCCCAAATTGTTCACAGCTACGGCCTGCCAAAATTGTATACCTAGTTAGTACAATAGATTATAAGGGATGTACACTGGAGCATTCTGGTTTGAAACAAATGCTAGCAGCTTCTGAACTGAGGATGGTTAAGGAGCTCCTAGAATGCCGTTTGAAACCCAAAATACTATTCAAAGTACACTCACAAACAATAGGCATAAGTGGTGTTTTAGAATTTGTAATGAGAGTCTGTGTTTCTTCTTTTAAGTTGCAAAATAAAGTTAGGGTGGAAAAGGGGACCTCCAGTACAGAAGCGCCTTGAGATGCAGCCCACTCTCTGACTGCAGACATTGTTATCTGCATGTAAACAAGAACAAATTAGTGATGAAGAAACCAAAAGCTTGTTATGAAAAAAACTTTTTTCGATTAGATAGAAACAGACGAAATATCAAGAATACATTAGATGGATGATGGCAATAAAAAGGTCAAAGAGGCAATACTATACTTTGCATGAGATTCCCAAAATAGGAAAAGGGCTCTTAGTTCAGTGGTCAGGGTGGTGAAACCACAACGTGATGTCAAAGGTTCCATTCCTATTTAGCTTACCAACCCAAAAGGAAAATGAGGTTTTCAAACTAGAGAAGTGTCAGATCTTCTCAAAATAAAGACATGCTTGCACATATAACTCTATCCATATACCTTTCTGCAAGCAACAATATATATGCCTTAATTATTTCCTTTCCAATTTGGAAAGTACAACACAGGCATTTTGCCCACAAGACACTGAAAAAAATATCATGAAGATACACGGTTGCCAGAATTTTTCTTTTAGCATGGCCTAGTGTATCAATAACTGCTCAGCTTCAAAATTACTGAAATAAAGCTTGGGATGAGAATGGATCCACGACCCATCACTCGACAGGGCTTAGTATAAGCAACTCAAATTGTGACTACCACATAAAGGTGCAATTAGAAAATATGGATTTCATCTAGATCACACACCAAATATATGGAACATCAAAACATAACCCAGGCATGAAACAAGGATGTGAAATATCCACTTACACAAGAGATACAGTGAAAGGCTTTCACTCGCAAGTCAACATATGATTTAAATGAGAAACAAAGACAAAAAAACTAAAAACTGTCCGATATTTTCAACATTAAATTTTCATTAGAGTAGTATCACAGTAACAAACATTTGAATAAAATTTTATCGCACATATTATTTCATGTAATATGAATCATGTTACAAGAACACTTTTTTTTTAATGAAAATCAATCCATATGTTCGAAATTTAAACCGATATACCTATACATAACTAAGGCCCATCTTGACCTGCCCAGTCCATATGCCCTGAAGCGACCATGAATTGGCCATCTTCACAATGATGGTCATGGATGGTTCACCTTTGTAGAAGTGTCTGTGCAACACACCTATACAATTTAGATTGTACTGCACCAAAGCCAAAGGCATTACTCAACCTAACGTTACCATTAACCCTAGTTGGATAGACAATTACTACCAACTTTGGAACATCATACTTCCCAAATACAGTGTGCATATTCAGTATGTTGATTAAATTAATTTTGTTTTTATAAACATATAGCATGTCAATAGTTTCTTAACAAGCCCATATATTATCTACTTTGTATCAATTAACTACAGTTTGTGGAGCCTAAGGTTAGACATAATAGGAGATTTACATATATGTCGACGTATAATTAAATTTTCTACAGTTTTTTACATATCTGTTTACAGAATTACATATCTGTTGAGGTAAATTAACATTGCAGTATAATTTTAGAGTAGCAACCCCTCTCCATCTCAAATGCCACATTTGGGCTGCCTAACACCACAGAACTGCTCAAAACCCCATGGCCTTCTGACATAAAGATAAGATACCGTGATTGAAAAAGATTCATTAATAGTTTTTAGTTATTTACTCTTTTGGTAAGAAAAGGAAATTTGTTTTACTTAGTTTATTCGTTCACTGGACGTAAGGGGTAATTAAGGGTTTTGGGTCGTTTTTTTATTTATTTTTGGTTAGGGAAACTTGGGGCTTTGTTTTTTTGAGTTAGAAGGGAACTTGGGGCTTTGTTTTTTTGAATTACATATGTATAGAAGGGAGTGTAACTATGTCCGGTTCCTTGGTGATTGATTTGTCAAAGAAACTTGACGAAAACTACCCTAGAAAGGGCTTCTTTACTTCCTCTGATTGAAGGCATTTAGAAGGCTTGGTAGTACCGCTCAAATGTCCCTCCCTTCCAAGGTATTCCCCAATACTTCTCTTTTCCTTTTTATTCCTTTCCTCCTCCTCCTTTTCCCTCCTTAATTTCTTACTTCTCCATATTCTTTTCTTTTCGTTCTTTTCCTTCTTTGTCCCCTCCCGTTCTTATTCTCTTAACCTCTTTCTCTCCTATTTTCTAAATTTTTTCCCTTTTTTATGGCCTACCCAACCAGCCAAATCACAGCCCCATCCATAGTTCACCAAAACTCTTGTCCATTTGCTCTCCACAAAAATTGTCTCAAACACAATCTCTTGAATTTGTAAACCCTAATTCCACCTATAAACTCAAAACCCTAATTGCAACCATTAACCCCAAAACCATATAACTAACTTGCGGGAGTCCTTCCAGAATCAAACTAAAGCTAGTCTATGCCTCTTCTTCACTCTAGGCTGTAGGCCAGCTGTAGGTTCGATAGCAAGCAGATTTTATTTGGCTGATTTTGTTAAAAGACAAATTTCAATCCACTCCAGATTCGGAGACTCACCTCCCCAGCATTAAAACAAGTTCCTAGATTGCATGTTGGCTTGCTAATGGCTGCTTAATTAGTTTTGTTGGAATATTACTGGTGAATCTATAGATTTTTAGCCATGTTTGGATTCATAATGTTCTCCAAACGTGTTTTAGGATCTTGTAATCGGAGATCAGTTAGCCAATCTTAGCTTACATCAATTTGGTAGCAAAGCAACTTGTATCCTAGGGCTTGAGGTCTATTTTGGAGTTGTTTACAGTATGTCCTGGAGTTTTAAGGCGGCTAAGTCATTGCCCCATAAATTACTAAGTTATCTGTTAGACCTTTAAGGGGCAGTCCATAACTTTAAGTTTTAAATCCATTACGTGCCATCCTATTTCGTTATGTAGTACTCATTCCTAATTGTTTTACCTAGAGCTAATATAGAGTTCTTTGTGTATTTACGTTCCAACCTAGAACTCCCAAGCAGTTAAAATTGCCAAATTATAGCCCTCTAGGAAAGGGAATGTTCCAGGTCTAGGGAAGCTCTAGTTTAGACTTAGGTGAATTCACATTCCATGGCCGATCAAGGCTATGTGAACTAGGATCGTGGTTGTGACCAAAGCCCTTGACATTCTCAACTCAGAGGCGGCCAGCAACAGTCCATCCAACACAAACTTCCAGCAAATCAGGAAGCAGTTGGCACATGTAATAGGACAATCCTTCCACCTGACCTCTGCAGAAGCTTCACGAAGATGATATTGGGCAATGTTCTGAGAGGAATCAAACACTAGTAAAGAAGAACATGGAGAACATGAGGACAATTCCTATGAGGATCCTAGGCAATACCCTAGAAAATACTGGCAAGCGACCTACAAAGGTACTTTGCACATGGGATAGAGATCGATGTGGAGGACAATGGTGGTCACTTGGATTCAAATGAGTGCCTCTAGTGGTTAGAAAGAGTCGATCGCTTCTTTGAATAGAAGAACCTCTGAAGTCAGGAAGTTGAAGTTTGCTGGTATGAAGCTGAAAGGTTCTAAACTTAACTAGTAGAAACCTTTGGAGGAAAGGGAAAAATTAAGGTTAGGCACGGCAAGTAGAAATCAGAACATGGACCCAAATGAAAGAAAAGATTTGGCTGAAATACTTACCATTTGATTATAGGATGGCTCTCTATCAAAAGCTACTTTCTTTGAAGCAAGGCACCAAATTCGTGAGACTACACACAAGATTTTCATCAGCTCACATAGCGTAACAGCCTTCAGGTGGATGATAAGCAAGCCATGGCATGATATGCAAGCAAGCCATATTAAAAAAAATCCAGTATCAGGTCTCCATTCATACCATGGTTAAGGGAACCGTGGGGGTAAGGTGGCGTTCCCGATCCGGAACCTTGATCCCACAGTTCCTCCTAAGGATCTCATAGGGACCCTGGTTTTTCAATTTGGGAATCTCGCTCCCAAAATTTCCGGATCTTGCTCCCAAATAAATGGGATCACGTTCCAACCATTTGTGGATTCCAATACTATTTCGAAATAGATTCCCAATCCCATCAAACATGGTTCAAGTTTTTGGTACATTATAATCTTGGGTTCCATGTATGTGGACTCTACTTTCAAAAACAGATGAATCCAGTTCCACAGTATTCTTACACCTCCCTCTCCGAATTCCTACACCTCTCTCTCTCTCTCCCCTTTATATAAGTGGCAAGTTTTATAACATAGCAACAAATTCAGTATTCATGCAAATGGCAAGTTTTATAACATAGCAACAAATTCAATATTCATGCCCTAATCAAATACTAGAGTATCCAATAAAATGTCAAATCAAGACAAAGTAACCAACACAACATTCATATTCTGATCCTAAATCTAGATTTATCACATAAATCTTAGAAATTCAATGCATCAAAACCCATGCAACATTAGTGTTTCAATCCAAATACCTTATTATGGCATAAATCACAAAATATATACGAAAAGCAACAGAAGAAAAACATTCATCTAGTCACTATCTCTTCACTCTCACTCTCTCCCTCACTCTCACTGCTCCCTGTGCACACCTCTCCCTCTACTGCACACAACTCTCTCTCTACTACGCACACACACACAACTTTATCTACTGCGCGCGCACACACAATTCTCGCTCTACTGCACACACAACTCTCTCTATTGCGCACACACACACACACATACCCCTCTATCTCTACTGCACACACACACTGTGATGATAAAATAAAAATAATAATCATACAAAAAAAAAAAATACAAGAGTGAGGTGTCCATCATTACACACTCAATAGTGTAAGGTGGCACAAAGTGGCATTATATGGCCCATAAAGAATGAGAGGTGGCACAAAGTGACATTAGGTGGCCCATAAAGAGTAATGAAGTAGCACAAAAAGGCATGAAGTGGCTCACATTAAAAAAAAAAATAATGACACATGGAGGACATGTGTCAAATATGGATTAACTCCCCCACTTATAAATAACCTCCATTGGCCCTTAACTAACCCCCATAATTGATTCACTCTTCTCTCAAATGTGAGCTTCTTCTCTCTCTATGTAAGTTTTTTATCTCTCTTATTTCAATCATTTTCTCTCTCTCCCTCATC